GGGATTTGGAATTTGGGATTTGGAATTTGGAATTTGAGATTTGGAATTTATCTGTAGACAAATGGATCATGTCTAAAATCTCATATCAATATAAAATCAATCTCAAATCGCCAAATCCCAAACTCCATCTCAAATCCCAAATCCAAATTCCAAATCCTAACCAAAGTTCCAAATTCCAAATCCTAAATATTATTATCATCATGATTCTGGTAATGATACAAAAATATATACATATGTACTATATGTATATATCTTACAAGATATGACAATTCTACCTTACTTGTAACGTGTTTTCATACTGGAGTTAAGACATGTGATTTCAGAGATTAGAATTCCTGAAATCGCATAAGGCTAGGCACACTATTCATACAATTTTGTACAAACTAAATATCACAATATTTTAAAATAAAATTTTAGATAACTTGCACGATATAACTGAGCGGGATACCACCTGCAATATAATTATATCGCAAGTGATATTCCACTTAGGTTAGATTATATAATCTAGATACCACTATATAATCCAAATATCATTATATAATCTAAATATCTCTATATAGTCTGAATAGCACTATATAATCTGAGCACCACCATATGATCTAAATAATATAATCTAATAAACGCTATATAATCTAAACATGTAATCTAATTACTACTATATAATCTATATATTCCTATATCAGATATCTATTTTATGTTCTAGCTATCTCTTTAAACTCTTTCTGATATTTATATTTTACCACTATACGATCTAACTATTACCCACTATTTAATCTAACTACCAGCATGTGATCTAAATACTGCTATTTCCTTCTTGTTCCTAATCCATTTACATGTCAAATTCTATATTATTTATATTGGCCTTCTATATCTGTTTGGATGCCTGGTTCTATGTTGGGGGTGCTGGCCCTCTGTGTCGGTCTGGGTACTTGATTCTATATTGAGATACTTACCTTTTGTGCCTATTTTGTTGTCTGTCAAATATAAAAAAAATATCGTGTCAGGTGGCACAGTAAATTCGTGGTTAATTTCAGCTGGCTCTATGGCATAATTCTGGCCGATCTTTAGAACACATGATTTGAGGATCCATCTTGGCACTATAATAGTGACCCAATAGTGCCTAGAACTATCATAGCACTAGCAGGGAACTGGCAGAAAACCAGAAAGGTTCTATTAGTTCACCAGTTCTGGATTACTTTTATGCCAGTTTGGATATCAAGTTATTGTATTCAAAGATTTGGCCAAGTTTATAGAATAGTGCTGGCCATAATTAACTGAATTTACTGCACCCTCACTGACACTTCTGAGGCCCGATCATGGTTTAAACAAACCGGGTTTAAATCACCACCCAAAAAAGTTACAGTTATTCTAACAGGCCAATCAAAATTTAAGATCAGGTATAACATAACACGATCTGAAAAATTTAAAACAAACGTTCGTTTTGTTATAAATCGCATATATCTCAAAATTTAGTCTATGAAACAGCCTTCTGCATACTAATAAAAAAATTTCCTTTCAAAATTCTGATATAAGAAACACTCTCAAGTCAAAATTTCATAACAAATTATAGACTATAATCTAATATTGTAAATTTTTACTCTGCAACTTTTTTGGGTAGTGATTTAACCCCAGTTGTTTAAACACGCTTGTGCTGGTCAAGACAATAAGTATGCTAATTTTTTGAGTGTCACAAGTGGCACAAGTTAGTATACGAACCTGTGACAGAACCTGTAACAGGTTTGTTATCTTTCTTGAGATTATTAAGCTGTCTTATTTCTTTCTTGATTAGTGTCACAAGTGTTATAAGTAAAAAGAGTAGTAAATTCTAGAGAAAAAAATTAATTTTTTTCTATAGTACCCTTTGGGATATATATGTAGTATGCTATAAAAAAATAAATAAAAAGTTAGAAACTTTGAGCCGATTTTTCCTGTGACACCTGTGACACCTGTGACACATATTGAGAAAGCTTTCTTTTGGCCTAGGATTCTTAAAGAGCCTATCGTTTGTGTCACAAGTTTGAATTCTTACTTGTAACACTTGTGATAACAAAAAATCTGACCTATTTTATATCCTAATATGCCTGAAACTATTTGAGTAGGGTTCATTATGTGAACCTATCAGCCAGCTTAGCCAGCTTTTTCTGTTGGTAGTGTTCTTTCGCTCTATAATTTTTTGTATGATTATCACAAAAATTATATATAGAATTAGTCCATTTACTGCACCCGGGTTGTTTGCAAAGAACTTGTCTAGAATTCTGATGGATTTTACATCCCTTTGGATAATAGTATCCTTGATTACACACTTCTCCAGTCCTAAGGATATATGAACAATTATAAAATTACATTTGTGTATATCAATTAATAATCTTGAGGAATTAATTTTATTTTAAACTTTTTTCTTACGAATAATATACCTTGAGATTTGGTATAACTATAAATTACCTTAAATTGCTTGATAAAAAATGATCCAATCTGAGCTTTTAGAGAATTTGGATGGCCCACCCCATACTATTGTGGGTTGCTTCCGATGTAGGTCAATGCCTATATAAAATTTAGGATGATAGTGTTAGACTGAGGCACTTCTTTGGTGCAGACAATAAGGATAGAATAGAAGCCATACTTTCAGATCGTGAGGACCACCCCTTCCATGAATTTATTGATGATGATAAGCCACTTTGCCCTATTATAGATTTTGATTTGCTAATAGAAACGCTAAATGTTATTACTCCTAAAGTTTTGCGTAGAGAAGCCTATAAAGCTATTCAAATAGCTTTTAGAGATGTTTGTCTAGAAATATATCTGAAGTGGGATAAAAAAAGTATAACCATCGCTACTAGTAGTGATGTGAAAAAAATATCTCTCTACATTTTTACTTCTGGTATGAGGCTAAAAAATATCACTCAGATTGCCACGTTCACTGAACTTGTTCGTAAGAAACTTCTGGTGTGATTGCAGAGAAAAGGTATAATTGATAATATCGCAAATAAGTGATCTTTTTCTCTAAGAATGCTTGGTTCACTTAAATATAAAGAAGAAACAAAAGAACATGTTTGTGTAAAAAAAGCTGTCCATCCAAAAGATGGAACAATCTTTGACTTCATGATTCGCTGGCCAATGATGAATCAGAGGTTATAAAAAGCCCTTTCTTAGATGTTTCAGAAAATATAAGCAGAAAAAAATGCTTCACCATGAGTAATATTACTACTGAAGCTGATCCGAGTTGGTAGAGACATTACTTAAAGAGGCCGTCATTGAAGGCTATAATCTCTTATTTTCATCAGAAAATTTCTCTGATAAATTTTTATTATCACGCATTTCTCCATCATATTGTCCATTATGTGATCAGGAACACACAAGTGATAATACATATATTATACAAAATAAAAAATCTTATAGCTTTTTCTGTTATCGTGCAAACCAAGAAAACAGCCTGGCGTGAGAAACTCTTCGTTAAAGCTTACCATTAATGAAACAGCTTTAGATAGAGAAAAAAAGCTTTCAAGTCCCGCAAAACTAGACCGATCCAGAATTTCAGATCCCAATGATCACTTTGTGTGGGCTGACTTATTGCGAATGTATACCTTAGATAAAAAATTCTCTTGTATAGATGTCTACGAAGCGATTCAAGCAATGATCGCCTGTGTTCAAAAGAAAACAAAAACATGGATTCTTAAACATAGGAATCCAAATGGTGGACTTATGTTTAATATGGGGCCTAAACTAGATATTGCAAACTTTACAATTAATATAATAAAACTTAGGGGTGAGGCGATAAAATTAACATCTTTAATCAATCATGCTCTTACTGGTGGTGTAATACATTATGATGATGTTAATTTTCTATTATACCCTCCAAATGTTAATCCACCCAAACTGAATTCTTTAATCTTTTCTTAGGATTCAAGGCCAAGCCAGCACCCCATATTAATTATGATTTTGTAAAACCCATCGTCTGGCATATAGAAAATATCTGGTGCAATGGAGATAAAAATCTTTTCGAATATGTTCTAAAATAGCTTGCATTCCTAGTTCAGTATCCAAGTATAATTTCTGGGACAATTCTTGTTTTACGCTCTCCACCACGATGTAGAAAGAATATTATCACCGATTTTATTCAAAAAAGCTTATTCGGGCCAGACCTTGTATTTTCGACCTCTAATCTTGAAAAGATTCTTGGACGATTTAATAGCCCTATCCAAGCATGAAAACTTATTATTATGAATGAAGCGGAGATGGCTAGTGGTGAATGGCATAAGGTGAATGATCATTTAAAAGCCCTCATTACAGAAGACTATGTCTCGATTAAGCGTAAAGGCCTTGAATCTCAAGATTGTAATCACTATGCTGGATTTATGATTTTAAGTAATCATGATGCCACAATTCGAGTGAAAATAGAAGATGGGCATATTGTATATTTAGATGTCTCCTCTCGCTATAAAAGTAATTTCATATATTTTGATCAGTTAGGAGGAATTCTTGAGCACCCTGATACACCAGGATTATTTATGGCATATTTGCTTAATCTTAATCTTTTAGGATGGAAGCCACATAAAATTCCTTTAACCAAAATGAAGATAGAAACAATGCGAGACCAGCTTCCTAATCCTGTTCGATTTATAATTGACTATATTGCATCTTGGGATGAAGATAAAGTAGCCAGCCCAAGTCGTACATCATTATATCAGAAGTATCTTGAATGGTGTGGGGATAATGGTGAAAAGCCATTTTCTAATAACATTACTGGGAAGAAATTTTCAGATATTGGTATTGAGGGCAAACAAGTACGAGCAAGTAGTAGAAAAAGGGAATGGGTATATATTCTTGACCATCCCAAAATCGTAGCTAAAATACGTGAAACAGTAGGTGATATCGAAAAATTTTCTGATATGCTCCAAGATGTCCTACCTACAAATGAGACCTTAGACATACCTACATTCAATATACCAAAAATTATTCCTCCAAAAGTATCCCGTCTTAGTTAAAAAAGATTGTGTCTCCCCTCAGTGGTAAGAAAATAGATAACCAAATTGAATCGTTCCAAGACCTTTTCAATTTTGTGAGGGAACACCCTGAAGTACCAGTTGCCTCAATATCTGGAACATCTGAAACTACTAAGGCTTCTGAGTCAGTAATTGAACCCAAAACTAGTAAGCCATCTGAGCCCATTAAATTTAGTAATAAAGTATCGTTTGCTATACTTTTGACCCGAACTTAGCGTGAAGAGCGCCTCAGAAAATGGGCCACCAATCATGGTGAGGACCCAGATGTATTCATAACTATCACAGAAAAAGACGTTAGATTATCCCGGGAATATCGAGACAGGATGATGTCAGATGCAGATGCCATCGAATTTGTAAAAGAAGATGATATAGACGTAAATGAGATATTTTACATGTCCAGAAGGGAAAGGCTAATAAGTAAAGAAATATATCTCTGTAACTTCGAAGATGCTAAAAAACCCTGAGCATATGTTTATAATGATGAGGAGTAGCAAAAAGGTATTAGTGTACTCTAAGAGAATGGTTACCTATAGTAGGTTCGACATCAATAAGAAATAGAAAAAAATAATAAGTAAACTTCAGGAGAATAGTATGCTTTGGTAAAGAGTGAATAAGAAGCCAGTTTATGTTCTTTACAACTAGGCGATATAAAAATCTAAAAATTATTATTTTTACTTTGCTATTTGCTATCTAACATAAGCCGAATTACGAGGCTATATTTTCTCACTTATCTAATCTACTTGCATATTTTAAATTGATGTAAACATTTTTCTGGTCAGAGTGTAGATTATATTATTATTTTTTCGCACCCCTACTCTTCTGCTTCATCTGATAATTCATTGCATGAAACTTTGCAGAATATTTGGAACAATATTTGGAGCAATACCCCGAATCAGCATCAGTAGGAAATTCACAAACAAGGCATGGTCTTTTTTTCATATTTTTTTTATATAATTTCCAGTGCCTTGAACAACCAGTAGTACAAGTACAGACTCCTCCACAAATAGAACTGTCTCTCTTGATATACCGGCAAGTAACACGATCCATGTAAGTATTTTAGGATATAAAACCTTCTTCACTTTTAATTTTATAATAAAATGTATATTTAAATTATTCAGTATTAAGTTAAGTCATTTATGACTTTTCATACTTATGCTATGGATATATTAGATCAACCGACAGATAAATCTCACAAAAAAATCTTTAATCCCAAAACTAATCGCATGATCATTATAAATAGATCAGCATATAATAAATTGCTACGTGAAGGCTATATGCATTGGAAAGAGGAAAGTCTCTTGATTCCGCTATTCAATGAAATGCCAATATTGAGAGAGTACCTTTCTTTTATATCTAATATAATCGCGTATGATCTAAAAAAAAGTTTACTTACGTTAATTAATGAAAAAGTAAGTTTGTTACAGATTTTACTCAAAGTATATAATGATAGTGATATAAACTAGTTATTAAAAATCGACTGGAATAGTAAAAAAACGAGGGCTTGGAGAAATGATATTCTCATAAAATTTCTCCATTACCCAAATTTAGCTCTTTCGAAACATAGACCGGGCACTTTATATGATGCATTCATCGAGGCAAATGTTTTGGGGCCAAAACATATATTAGCTCAGGCACGAACACTCTACTAAAATGTGATATAAATTCGTATATAGCTACGGAACCACCATTCCAAGGTTATATTTTTTCGCATATCATAACTACATATAAAATTCAAATCAATGTAAATATCCTTTTGGCTAAAGCGAGCGACTTTATAGAGACCCAAGTATTTTTTTCCCTTTCTTAGCCCTCTGTTAGTCTTTACCGATTATGAGCAGGAGTTCATATATAGTGGAATATTTTTTTCGAATTGAACTTTTTTCCTAGAATATATAATCTAAAGACTACAGATTAATCTAACACTCACCTTATATTCTACTTACCACATCATGTTTGCCATTACAACCAAATTCGGCACAGATCACAAACTCACCAATGAGACAAGTCTCAAAGAGCTTAGCCAATATGCGCCAGAAATACTTGAGCTCTTGACAACTGGTATGCCACTAGTAGATAAAGAAAAAAGACATCAGGCTCATGATCATCTTCAAAAAGGATATAAGTTTAGCAAAGAGCAGGCATTTGCATTAATTCCTCTACAGAGAGTTGGGCGATGCAAAAGTCAAGCATCGGTCTCAAAAGGACCAGGGTTAGAAGCTGAGGAAATGAATATATGTCAAGTATCTGATAGTACTTGTTCTAAGAAGACTATTAAAGAAATAGCCCAGTGTATTATACAAGATAAACTTAGCGAAAGAGATGTAAAAGCAATTTCTAGAACCTTAGTCAAAACAGCCTCCGATCCTGTTGTTGCATTATCCCATCTCTCTAGACTTTGAAGAGAATTGCGAACCCTCAATATCCAAGAAACAATAATTTCTGCTACAATGAATCCAGAAATAACCAGATCATCTAATAAAATCTAAAAAGAGCATAGTGAGAAACGTAAAAATGAAGTGATTGATTTCCCAGACCACTTCTCATTAGAATCGGTTAAGGAAAGGCTAGATCTCTATAATGTGTCAAATACACCCGATAAACAGACCTTGGCTGATATAATGATCATGCTCTGTATTCGTCCTGCTGAAATTAAAAACTTACGCATAACTAATGGAGGTGTAACTAGATATGCAAAAAATCAGGGTCAACAAGATATTCCTCGTGTATTTAGATCACTTGAAAAGAATGAAGAGCGGGCAAAGAAATTGCTTACATGAATCCAGGAAGCAATCGTTTCTGGACAGTTAAGGGATCCAGGAAAGCTTGGATCTTCATACTTAAGTACATTTCTGAAAAAAAATGAATTTATTCTCAAACCTTATAAGCCACTACTTCCTAGCTCTTTGCGCAAGCTAGGATCGATATTTGCATCTGTAATGCATAGTACAAAGAATTTATCAGAGGCCAATACCTTTGTCAGTGAAGCATTAAGGCACAGTTCTGACAATCATGCTTCTTCATCTGATAGATATACTATAATTAATTTCAGAAGGAGGGGACAACCTTATAATCAGGCAAAGGCATTCAAGCTCTCCAATAAAAACTGATCACATATAAAAGGTTTGGTATCAATTATTAATTTTATTTTTTCGTTTGAAACAATATATATTTCATATAAAAAATGACCGGAATAGAAATAACTGATCAAAAGCATCCATCTAATATTGCACAGTCTATGAGCGACCAGATTATCAGATGTACAGAGAAAATAGCCCGGATATCTGGATTAGATGAGCAAAATTCGAAAGTGTATAGTGTGCTTTCTAGAGAAATTAGAGCATTAGATAAAAAACTGGATGATTATCATTCCGAATATAATAGCTTAAGAAAAATGGTAAAAAGATTAGAAAAAGATGTGGGAACCTAAAAAAATGAATTAGAAGATCTGGACGAATGTGTAGATAGAGAGACTGTGGTTGACTTAATACATGAAATAGTTTCCACACTCATTAATGAAAAAGGTAAGAGTTCCTCCGATTCATCTGAAAAATCTGATTCGATTGAAATAGTAAAAAAGCGAAAGGCGGTTCCTTATAAGCAACAAAGAAGGGCACGACTGAGAAAGGTTAAGTGGTTGGCTAGATCAACAGCCCGGAACAGTGATTGCTAGTTGTCTACCATTTTCCTAATGTTATTCTTGAAATCACAATTAAGTAATATATTTTTTAATACAGATAGAAAGTGTCGAAGTAAAATAAAAATCTATGAAGTGTATACTTCTCTTTTTTTCACTAATTATTCGTACTGATAATTTTGCTAATCTATTTTTTCTATCTAAATTGAATCATTGCTATTTTCATTTAGATAATAAATTGTCAATTGGTGAATCATCGAGATTGCCACTAAATGGGTAATCCATATTCATACTAATTAATTCGTGAATAAACAGATTAGCAAATCTGATATTAGTATCAAATTTTATTTTTTTATTCATGAGGAATACAATATAAAACAAGCTAAGTATAAAGAAATTTTGTTATAAAAACTTATCTGGCTACAGCCCATAATAACTAACTTCTCAAGCAAAATTTTGCTCTTGAATATGCCACGCTTCTAAATATCGCATGTCTCGAAATACTTGCATTAAATGTTCTTAAAAATTCATTTCCAGAAAAAATTGCAAGTGATATTAATATACCTGAACTAGA